TTCGTAGTATTTTTTACATATGTAAGTAAGAAACAGCAGTTAGATATACACGTAAGTAACATTTAATGTTATGTATGCACAAATTTGCCTGTGAACGTTTGCTGACTGCAGATTCCAGCTAAGGGAGAAATCGATTTAAATGGCTCGCTTGGTAGAGTTTTATTGTAATCGTTCCGACTGAATGGTCATATGGTCTTATGGCGTTAATGGCCAAACTCGTGGGGGCTTGTGGTGGTCATTCTGATTGAATTGTGATGATGATGGTGACGGTGATGATGATGTTGGGTGATAATGATGACGTTGTTTATACCACTACTACAAATACTAGAACTATTATTATTAATTCAACTTTTGTAAATACGAACTTACTTTAAATAAATGGAGATTACAACTATTACTATTACTACTGTTACTGTTATTACTACTACTACTGATACTACTATAACTGCTACTATTACCACTATAATACTTTTGTAACTATAGACTTACTTTAAATGAAGTATCAAATTTAGCTGTTTGATCAAAAATATTGTGCTTTCTATAAGATATCAAAACAATATTTAACAGTTATGTGACTATGAAAGACTGCACTAGACATGTCTTATGCTTTTTCCATGTTTATACTGACAGCAAGTTGGCTTAAATGTGAAATGACCTGGTTCAAATGCAAGATGAGCCAAAAAATGTGTGATTCAATGATCTCAGGTGTATGAAGTGGACACACAAATATTTTGTTGCTTTTGTTGTGTTTGCATCTGTTGTGCCCTGACTGACTTGTCTGCTTCAAATAAATTTATTTCAATTGTGGATGCATGTCTGTGTGTGTGTGTTTGTTTGTGTGGATATGTGTGAGTGTGTGAAGATTTGTGTGTTTTTTACAACACTTATAAAATTTATGTGTTGTATTTTATAAATAAATGAAGCCTACTCGTGTATTTAAGAAAGATTTGGGCGCTATGAACAATTTCGCTTTGTGTGCGGGGATTGCACGTTTGAATAAAAAAACTATACAAAGATTTGTTTTGCATGTGTATACTAAATAAGTGTAACAAAACAATGCGTATTAGTTTAATTTGTATCAATACAAATCTTGCTATTGTGGATGCACATCGACGTTATGAATAAATTATTTTCCAACAAAGAATACAAATAAAAAATAAACTAAAGTTTATGAAACAAATAACTAATCTAACAAAAAAAAAATATCATCGCGCATTTAGAATAACAAAACAGCAACAACAATAACAACAGTAGCATTTATAACCACAGCAACAACAATAAAAATAATTTTTGTGCTATTAATTTCAGAGAAACAAAAACAAACTAACAATATAATATATCATAAATTTTTTTATGAGAATTGATATGATAGATAATCTTACTGGATGAGTTGGATGAGTTGGATCATGATGTATGAATGTATGTATGTGTGTATGTATGTATGTGTGTTTGTATGTATGTATGTATTCATGTATATATTCATGTATGTATTCACATTCGATATTTTATTTCATTTCTTTTATCTTCAACGTTTTGGTTGGCTGACCATTCAAAGCAATCTCTCCGCTTTTATATATTGTTCAGATTTGTTGAAAAATTAAAATTTTTTTTCATCATTATCATTATTATTATTATTTTGATGTTTTTATTGTTGTTTTTGTTTGTTTTTTTTTCCTAAATATTTACATGAATTTTTCAGGTTTTCAACCTGGGTATGCATAAATCCGGCTACCACTACATCTTGGCTGGCTCGGTGAGATTAACTTTATTTTAATGCTGGTTTCGTTTTATGTTTTTCGCGTTGTTGTTTTTCGCGTTTTGTTTATTTGTTTGCGTTGTCGTTGTTTGTCTGTGCTTGTTGTTGTTATTGTTTTTGTTGTTGTTGGTTTGTTTGTTTATGTCATTATTTGTTCATCTTTTTGTTAATGCTGGATTCGCTGTTGTTGTTCTTGTTGATTTAGTTATGTTAGTTTGTTTGTTTCTTTATTGTGTTGTTGCGTTGTGTTGTTTATTTTATTTTTTTTGTTATTGTTGGTATGTTTGTGGATATTTGTGTTGAGGCATTGTTGTTTTTGTATTTTTTATAAAGATTCAACTATAATCTCAGAAGGAGTCTTCCACTAAAATGTCTTTAAATAAATGAAAACATGTTCCAGCAATTAGAATTCTACATTTTTTTCTGTACTCTGTAAGATCTGTACTTTGTTAAACTGCTTCGTGTCCTAACACAAAACTGTGATACAACATTTTATCGAAATAATGTTGTACAAAATCCTTTTTATCTCTCTCTCTCCCTCTTTTTCTCTTTCTCTCTCTCTTTCTTTCTCTTTTTCCTTATTCATATTCTATATTTTCATGTGCGTGTTTGTGTATGTGTATGCATATATACAATGTGTGTGTGTGCGTGCGTGAGTATGAGTGTTTATGTGTGTGCGTGTGTATATGTATATGTATTTGTGTGCATGTGTGCATAAGTTTGTGTGGTTTGTGTGCGTTCAAGTGTACGTGCAAGTTTTATAAATTTTTCACAATGGGGAGTTCATTGGTTCTTACAAATAAACCTGGATGTTATTACCGAACTTCAATAGCGATGGTCTCAATACCCAAACGTTTTAATACATACACTGGTATTTTGGCAATGGTATTTGTGTACATAATATTTGATACAGAATATGATATACAAAGTACATTGAACAGAATCATCAATGAAATTATCTGGTGTCCTTAATTGTAAAAAACATATTTAATCTGATGAGTTAATAAAGAATAAATTGATAAATATAGCATACTTTGAATACCTTAAATATATTAAAAGTTCTACAAAAGCTTTATCAAATACATCAAAATGAGTATAAAATTTTATAGAACAGCTATTTATGTGTTTTCCCATGAATACACTTGGGTACGTATACTATCAGTGATTTGGCAAATGCATCATTGTCTCCGTAATACACTGCCGTACCATTCCGGAATAAAATTTGTCGTTGGTATTGATCGAGTAATGGAGAGGTGTAAAGTGCGTTACAAAGTATTCGAGTAAGTATCGATTCGTTGCTAAACGAGATTCAGTACGGGAGTTGCGTCTTGTTGTTGTTGTTGTTGTTGTTGTTGTTGTCGAGTTGCGTGGTGTTGCATCATTTTTATCATTTCGTCATCACAATCATCATCATCACAATCATCACCACACAGCACATAGACATTCTGGACTTATCGTTATTCGTGCACGGTGGAGTTAACATCTCAGGCTAGTTTCTATTTTTCGAAAAATTATTTGCATAATTGTGAGTAATTTTAATAAATTATGATAATGTAGCATACTGCTATGATCTAATTTAGAATGATATTTTGCATATTCAGGCCGAGTTAATCATCACTCTCATCATCATCGCCAACATCATTCTCACCACAATTATCATCATCATCATCATCATAATCAATTTCTTCATCGCCATCAACAATATCATCATTATCTTTTTCATTCATTCATTTGTATTCATTATCTTCTTCTTTTTTTCATCATCATCATCGTCATCATCATCGTCATCATCGTCGTCGTCGTCGTCATCATCAGCAGCAGCACAGCATCTTCTTTTTTTTCATCTTCCTGTTCTTCATCATTATCATCATCATCATTATCATCATCATCATTATTATCACCATCACCATCTTTTTCCACTTCCTCGTCATCTTCACCAACCACATCGTCACTAGGATTCCGCCTAGTGGACAGAGATTCCACATTGTATAGAGAAACCCTGGCTTCTTGGAAAGTTTACATACAAAACTACTACGGCAACCAGCATCATCATGGTGGTGATGATGACGACGATGATGGCGATCATCGTTATCATAAGAGGATACCGGTAAGTTGATAACGATGATAAAGATGATGATGTGAATGATTAGAATTATTTTTTTTTATTGTTACTTTTGTTGTTCTAAATTATTCTTATTCTAAATATAATATAGTTTACATTAACACACACACACACCACACGCACACATGCACGCACGCACGCACGCACGCACACACACACACTCAGAAACTGTAAGCAAATTTACACTTCATTGCTTGACTTTACGCACGCCTTCACGCACAGTTAAACTCACGTACATCTTCTCCTTGCTACACATGATCTAGGCACTCTTCCGCACTTTCTCACTTTTGCTTTTCTTTCTATCCAGTTTTCTTTCTATCCAGTCTTCTTTCTATCCAGTTTTCTTTCTATCCAGTTTTTTTTTCTATTTTTTAATGTTTTTGCTTTGCGTATTACACAAATTTATGTACGAATGAGGATTTCTGTAGATTCATTTTTCTTGTACTCTCAATTTTTTCAACTGAAGCAGATTTTTTTCTAATTTTTTCCTTACTTACATATTGAATTTTAAAAGTAGCGCTGTTTTAAAACCAATTCGATAACTCATCAATCAAAACCAATTCAATAATTCATTCAGTCAAACCAACTAATGAATTAATGAAATTAATTAACATTGTCGTTGCTACTACCCTATATTAATTCATCCTTTCTAGTGATTAATTGATTAATTAACTAATTAACTACTTAAAATAATAACTAATAATAATAATAAGTAATTAACAATAGTAAGTAATTATTGAACAAAAATACCATTTCCTCAAAATTTCAGTTCGAATCAGCTCTAGCCATAGATGCAGTCAAAACTATACAAAGTGGTAAGTTTTAAACACATTTCATCATTACACCATCATCAGCCTTATCTTCGTCGTTATCATCATCACCATCATCTTCATCGTCATTGTCATCATCACCATCACCGTCATCAACATCACCATCTATTTTTCTTTTAATCTTTTTTTTCATCACCACCACCACCATCATCATCATTCCTTCGTACCACCACCATCATCGTTTATACCACCACAACCATCATCACCATCTTTTACTTACCATCACCACCACCACCAAAAAATGGAAACAGGTCTGAAGACATTCTTTGCAAAAGAGCAAGACACACTGAACATGATTTTTCAAAAGGGGGTGGTTTACAACGATGGCTCGCGTGGTTTGAGATGCATGGAGCCCTACAGGCCCTGGCGAAACGGGTCCCTGGTGTATGAGTATATGAGGAAGGTTAGGGGTTTTGCTACTGGTTTTGATTTGGTTTTGAAATTTGATTTGGTTTTGAAGTTTGATTGTATGTGAGCGTGTGAATAAACGTTTGTTTAAACGTGTGTTTGTGCGCGCGCGCGTGTGTGTATTTGTGTTTGTGTGTGTGTGTGCTTGTGTGTGAGTGTGTGAGTGTGTGTTATTTTTTTTGTTCATTCATTTTGTAATTCAATTAGAAGCCGTTCATATTTTTCTTCATTCAATCATTTGTTTGTTCGTTCCTTAATTTGTGAATTCATTCATTCATTCATTGTTCGCTTATTCATTCATTGGTCGTGTATTCATTCATTGTTCGTTTATTCATTCATTGATTCGTTCACTCATTCATTCATCCATTCTGACGTTTATATTTTAGTAATAATTAATAATATTTTTTAAAAAGTTATTATTATCACACACTTGTACATGCAATTTAT